TCGTATACATATTACAAACTTCATTGTTTCTCATATTATTATTATCTGGCCATAACGAATATAGTTTTTATTTCGAATTTAAATAAAATATGGCAGTGAATTCTTGATAACGGTAGTTTCGGTCTTAAATAACCACACTAAGGTGCACCTAGCCCTTTTATGTGTCGGACGGCGACCAGAACAAACAAACCTAAATATTATACAAAACTGATTATTGACATTCGATATTTTTGAGTCTCTGGATACATTATGAATGTATTTTTAATCACTTGGCATATAAAACATAATATACCTACATCCTAACACGAAATATTGGGCTATCGCCTGCCAGACGCCAGACTGTTTGATCACCTAACCATATCAGAGATCGACGCCTATCACTAAGCATGAACATCTAAACCTGACGTATTCGTAAGTAAATATTTTACTGAGAAGCAAGCGTGTAGCAACGGTAGAACGTGTGGAAATCCCCTCGGACCGTCACCCCACCGGGGTTTGCGGCGGGGTGGTGTGTCGGACTCGGACCGACTAAAACCACACGGTGTGCCACCCTGCGCCTGTAATAGAAGGGATTCGGGCACACCTGTTATTAAGACATCCGGACCCCTCCTAGCGCCGGCCCGCTCCTGTTGCGGGCCCCGTCTCAAAATTTTCCTCTCTTTAGGCGACGTCCGGCACACGCGGACGCCGCCCCCTCGTAGCTGGCCAAACTAATGCGGGTGGAGGGGAAACCCACCCCGTCCACCCGCGGCCACACTCAGGGCGGCATGAGGCGGTGATAGGCGCGCCTCCGCCGCCCGGTTCGCCGGCGGCGGATCGGGTCCGAGTGGAGGTCGTCCTCCCGGGCCTTCTCCGCCGCCTCCTTCCGCGAGATTACTTCCTCGCAGAAGGTTGCGACCGCGGTAAAACAACTGTCGCTACCGGCCATGGAGCGTACTACGGCCGGTAGCGAGAGATCCACTCCGATGACTGCAGTGAGGGCCCGGCGATGCGTCGCCCATGCGGGGCAGACCGCCAGCGTGTGCTGGGCCGAGTCCTCACTGCAGTCGCAGTGGTGGCAGGCGGGACTCAGTTCCCTCCTAGCGACCGAGTGCAGGTACTTTCCGAAGCATGCGAGACAAATCAGATTCAACCTTAGATTCCATAAAATAATCAGCGTACAAGCCTCTTTTAAGACTCATTTTGTATTCTAGTGATATCTAACACAAGAGATTTTCTCTATCCGATACAGTATTTGTATAAAGAACATTTTGTTCATAAATTCAATGATTCTGAATGTAATTTATAATTCATGTGAGTCACATGTGACCCCTTATAAGCTTTTAGGGTTGGACGTCTAAGTTTTTAAAAGGTTTTATAACAATAATAGGTGAGTGGAAAGCGAATAACTGTCGCAAATAATTTTGAGTAACACTCAACTTTTTGATCTTAATTAAACAAACACCGTATACTTCACCCAATATGCTAATGCTCCTTAGGGAACGTACCCATAAAAATTGCACACACGTCTGTTGAAGGCTTTCAACTTTTTTATTGTTATTTATTTATAATAGGCATAATCGGTAGGCACATCTTGTTAAAAAGATTTTATGACAAATATAAACGTAGAACTTATGCTGCGATATTTGTAATAATTCTGTTGTTCGAAAACTCTCTAAACTACTCTAAAAATCACAAAAAATGTTTAGTCCTGTCAAATACTACGTTTTCAGAATAGGAAACGTTTTTTGACAGCAGTAAACTAATTTTTAGTGATTTTTAATTTTGTTTAGAGAGGTTTCGAACAACAGAATTAGCACCAATGCCAGTAGTTTTTTTTTAATCCCCAATTTTTAAAAATCTAGGTACACTTTTAACGAAATCTTTCTTCTATTGATGCATGTAATTATGTAGTAGACATTATGAAATGAACAATACCTACTTTTCAGCATATTAATTTTTCAAGTTTTCTAGAAAATTTAGATGATTATTTTATCTTCTTACAGGTCAAGCCAAACATAATATGGCTCCGCCATTCACAGCAAATAAAATGTCAACATTATTAAGTAACCTGTGTAAAAGTAACGTTAGAAAACTGGAAAAAGGTTGTAGAGACAACCAAAAGAATTATTCATGCAGATTGGAAACGAAAAGTACAATACGATTTAGTTTGTGATCAAGAACTTATAATTCATCTGCAGGATTCCAAGTTCCAGCGACGAAGACTGAAGATGATTTGGGTCGTACGACTACAAAAAAAAACTTATTTGTGATTAGTACTCGTAGTAAGAGTATTTTGGCATCTCTCATGACTGTCATCCGCATCAAGTAGGGTTAGAATAAAATCATAATCATATGATTTATAAATCATATAATGACGCCTGTGACTATTTACAAAACCTCTGCGACTTATTATTATTATTATTACACTAGCACAAGACTCGCGAAAGGTCTAAATCTAGTTGTTGGTTGACACAATCACAGCAAGCATGGTTTAAACATGTAAAGAAAGAATAAATGAAGAATTATTTCTTATAATAAATAATTAGATGGTATAACACTATTGCATTGGGCTAAACCTGTAATAATAGTTGTTTTTAAAGGAAATAAATAAATAAATGTCATCTGCGAAAGTGTTGCAGAATATTCGTTGCTTCGGCCAAGAGCCTCGTTAAATATTCTTTATTCGGTTTTCGGCCAAATTACTCACACTCGTGGCATCTCTGGTGACAACTCTTAACATAACACACACAGACATGCCTGTTGGTCCAGTTGGTTAGTGACCCTGACTACTAAGCCAGAGGTCGTGGGTTCGATTCTCACCCATGAAAAATAATTGTGTGATAAGCACGGTCATTTGTTCTGTGTCTGGGTGTAAAGTACACTATATGTTACTGTACTATATCTATAATTTGTATGAATTTAGAAATATATGTATAAGTATGTTTATCAGCAGTCTGGTTACCATAGTTTAGGCTCTGCCTAATTTGGGATCAGGCGGCCGTGTGTGAAATGTGTAAAAATATTATATTATTATTTTTAATGCTCCTTGGGCGTGCGTTCCCATTGATGATTGAAAATAGTAAAGTATGTCTGAGACTAGTAGATTACCGATTCAATTTTCGGTTACAAGCCGATATATTCACATTACAGTCAACGTTGGATATAATACTTCACTACGAAATACCTTTTATGACAGTTGTTTACGAGAATTGGCTATCTGACTGCCGTGTGAGGGATGTGTGATATTATTATTATGTACACCAAATTTAATTTCCAATTTTCGCGCTTACTGTACTTATATATATGAAGGTACTTCAAATAAATTATAAGCTAATTTATTTAAAAAAAACTGTATTAACCAATACAAGGATTGTTTTAAAAACATTTACAACTCATACAATAGTGTTTTATGAACAAAAAAATAAGATCCATTTTAAGTAAATACTTTTGTCAAAAGATTTTCTATTGTTTTAAAATATCATTGTACGGAACGGTTATAAATTCATTGTGACTTTCAAATTTTATAGTATATTTTCTGTTGTTTTAGAGCTTTATTTTCATTTAAGATATGATAAAATGACATTTGAGTTTACTTATCAAATTTCAAAATGGCAGGTTACAAAAACAATTTCAAATTGAAAAACAATGTATGACGTCACACCATAGTTTTGCCTGCTATGCTTTTATTGTTAAATAAAGAATAGATAAAAATATCTAAATTAATAAGTATGTAAGACACATATCGGACTTTGTTTGTATAGTATATAATATGTGCTGACTTAAAAAAATATTCTCAGTATAGTAAACTTTGCCACAGTATGGCTTGACCAGTGACAGTATCACAGTGACATTTTTAAAAATTAGTTACCGTTAGAATAGATATCGATATAGTCTATCACTAAACTATTCATCTTCTTGCCGCAGTAAAAATAATATCAGAAATATAAATACTGTAAATTTAAATAATGTATTTTGTACTCTTGATCTTCTGAAATACTTGTTTATGTTTTACATATAAATACAATCACGCTTAGACCGAGGCGTATTAAACGCTAACATTACACCAACTAAAAATGTAGTGCCTCTCACGTAATTATGAATTCATCATCAACAGCCTTTAATAGTCTTCTGCTGAACATAAGCCTCTCCTTAGAAAGGGGGTTTTGGCCTACTATACATCGCTGGCTAGACGGGTTGGTATAGGGTGTGTCAAGTTTTCCTTCTCTCTGCAGTGCTGTTGTTCTGCGCAGTTTTCTCCCTTAGTCGGCTCTTACGACACCCACGGGATGAATAGGGGTGGTGACACTCTGTATCCTTAATCCGTCACCACACGTATGAATTATACATTACTAATTATTAATTAATTCTATAAATATTAATAAACTTGGTATTATTTTCTTGTCACTTGTTGTTTAAAATATAAAAAAAAAAACAATAATCAGAAGAGAGCTGATGATAGGTCCATGCATTCAGAAGCTAGGAAGCCACAGAAATTTATAACATCTATGGTTAACAATAATAAATAAGGGTCGAATGTTGACGCTGAACTGTCTTAATATATCACTAATAAAAACGAATAAACTGGACTAGTATAAACTAACTAACTAGTAGAACAGGTGGATTGTAATTTTGGAACTTAAAGTGCACAATAACTTACGTGTGACATCACTTGCAAATAATTTACAGCTCTAAAAGGACAAACATCAGCAATAAATACATCATCATCATCATCATCATCATCATTCATCATCTTCTCATTTTTCCAATTTCATTTGGCGTCTAATCAAATTAAAAGAAAGGGTTTTGCAATAAGTAGACACACATTGGTAAAACTTTTTTTTACTGAACAAACTTCGTAAAATAAAATTAAATGATTTGGGAAGCTCTTTTAATAGCTAAACTATTTGATTTAAATGGTACAACACCGTTCCCTATAGTGAATCTTCGATGGCTATTTTTAAAAGTGTATGTGGCTGATATAACAATGGCAAATGGTAAATGATGAAATATTTGAGCACTTATTCCACACTTTTGTTCAACGGTCTGATGTTCCGATGGCTGTGCAAACAGGGTATCTTGCAGAACTTGCAGTCATCGTACTCGAAAGGCACCTTTGGTAGTTGAGAGCCGCACAAGAAACATCGGTCCTCAGGTGATTTTCTCTGTAACATGTTCATTGTATGATAATGTTTGAAACTATCATAATTTCGTTCATTATTCAATCATCTTGATTTCTGCTTATTTTATAATAAAAAATGAAATTAAGCTATTTAAAAAATGATAGATACAGGTATTTTAACACTAATTAAACTCGTGTGATATTACAAAGCAAAAGGTTATCGTCGCGAAAGTTCTAACAACGCGTAACTCAAAATCGTAAACTTTTCAAGATTAAAAAAAGGAAAAAACTATCTTTTTGTAAGTTATTATAAAAGTACGCACATTTTTTTATAAAAAAACTTAAAATAATTGAATATTAAGAATTTGTGATAGAAAAAAAAAGATATAAACGGTGTTTTTCGTTTCTCTATCCAATGACATAAATATAATAATATATATAACTCATTTCGACCATTTTTTATCTGCCGAGGTGTTAGAACATAAGCGACGTTAAGTACTTTTGACATTGTTGAAGGTAAAAAGTAAATGTAAAAACATTTATTTTGTGATTTCAAATGACTACCTTTTCTGCGTCCGTGAGTTGTGTGAAAGCGTTAGCCTTCAGTTTGTCAATCTGTCTCTCTTTCTCGCGCTGACGTTTAGCACGTTTCTGTTGTGCCTTTTTCTCTTTCTCTTGTTCTAACTGTTCGGTTGTAATGGGACCAGGAATTTGCGACTGAAATTAGAAAATTGATATAAAGTGTTTGAATTGGTCTTAACTAAAAGTGCCTGTGTTTAAGTATTGCGTGAGCGGGATTGAGTTGGCAACAGGAAGTGAAGTTATGGCTTAAACTAAAGATAAATACTTTTCTTTAGTGTATGCGTTCTTACGTAGCTGCAGACTTAAGTTCTTCACTTGTAGGTATAAATCATTAAAATTAAGTACAACACGATGAGAAACAATATTTTTTGAAAATATTAACTATGTAGAAACACGTAGAAAAGATGGTGACTACCATCAGGTTATCCATTTGCTTGTTTTCCCCCCTATACCATAAGTACCTGTACTAAAAAAGTATTGTACGAGTTTCAAGCGAATACTGCAGTAAATTCTGACGATTTCAGTGCCTTAAACATTTGACAATAGAATAATTTATTTGCCAAAAATGTGGTACATGTATGGATGTTACATGGAGTACTGAATCACACATTTCGACAATATTGATATGCAAAATTCAATGTAAATCACATTACATTATAGATTAAATTACATAAAAACCTTATTTCATATTTTAAATTAAGAAGCTTAACTAAATTAAAGTAATCATATTATAATAATTATTAATATTCATCATAATCATTATTAATACCTTTGAATAATTGTATTTCTCTGGATTTTGAGCTTGGAACAGTCTGAATGCGATTCGTGTTTCATGGTGAGGTGACGCGGCGTACGGAGTTTGGAGTTGATTGTTTTTAATGCACGGGTCACCGCCAGCAGACAGGATTTGACTGTAAAAGTATAACATATCAATATTTAGTGATTACTTATCAATTAAGTAATATACACGCCTATTATGCTTTTGAACTAACTGCAACATTTTCGATATTAAAAGTGCATTCAGGCAATGTACTTAATGAGTATCGAAACCGATGTTTCTTGCATACAACGTCAATGCATGAAACATATAACACATATTGCATGCTACAACCAATGTTTCTTACATTGTTTGCAGCATGCAATAGCATGATATTATTATTATTGGTGAATTTGTTTTTTCGCAAATTTTCGCACTTTAATATCCTTTAAGTACTCAGTGCCATGACTTTTTGAGAGAAGTTATAGGGATCCTAGTTCGTCTACTGTAGAAACTACCTTACGATTTTGTTAGTGTTCAGTATAGTTTATTATTAATAAAATGATAGTGAGACGTTGAAAATCGATTTTATTAACATCAGGAGATTTGAAAGGTAAAATATTCTATGTTTAATAATATAAGAGATTTACAACAAAATACTTTGCATTTGTATTATAAAAGAGTTTCAACACTTGTTAATAAGAATATTGGAGCGACCATGGAACTATCGCGCAATTCCTATACTAAAAACATTATTTGTAAGTTCATAATTGCGATGGTGCGGTTTGCTGCGTGAACAGAGGGGCAGTAAGTGGAGTACAAAAGCAAGATTAAACTTACGTGACCATATCAGGTTTGGCAGCAATAGCAGCCTTATGAAGTGCAGTATTACCATCGCTGGGGTCCTGTGTGTTACATGCACTCTCAAGGTCACACTCCATTGCCTCAAGTATAGTTTCTAATGTATTATTCTCCTTGTCTGCAATAGCTTTCCACATCTACAAGAGAAAACAAATAATGAAAACTTTTCTTTACGATATAGGAGACACTCACATAAAGGGTCACCTGATGGGAAGTGAGTATGGTCAGACGGACCATGGTCTACTCAAGAGACACAAGTTCACCTTTCGAGAAGCAAACTCTTCCCCCCCAAATATGAGGAAGAGGGGTCTCCGGGAACAGGCCTTTTCACTACACTTGCATTCTATTAGGCTTTTATGATCACAATGCTACTAACACTGTCACAATCTCACCCTATCTCGTGATGAGTTATAAAGGCTGTTACTTATAATTTAAAATGTATACAATAACTTGCACAAAGCTTTCAATAAACAATCATATATTGTCTGTTTTCTCTGACATTGGACGTGGCAATTTAGGTTATAAATCTGATTAAATTAGAGGCAAATTTATTTTTAACATTCTGCTCATTAATAACTTTGAAGGACCGTATTCTAAGCCAATGAGTGGTGTAGTTCTATAATGAAAAAAAGGCATCAAGGTTCATCATACACTTAACAATTCCTACCAATTTTTCTGCCATACCATTGTACCTATAATGATGATGGCTGGTAAATAACAACATCATTTGCAAACTGCTTGAATTCAAAACTATTAAATGGATTGTTCTCACAAATTGCATAGGCATATGTTAGGTTGCAAAAAATATTTTTATATCACCGATAGTTTTTTGCTCAAGATTTTTAAGCTCAGTCCACTTTGATTATCATTATTAATATATTTGATTATATAATCAATTACAACAAGATAGTTCTTAGCAGCAAAATGTCCAGTATTTGTGGAGGTATATCTGGAACATCATGGCTTAAGAGTGTCTCCTGAGGATAAGAAGGCCTGCACTTTTCACATTCTTTACAAGATAAAACAAAGTTTTCTATGTGTTTTGACATACCTGGCCAATACAGAGACCTACGCGCCCTTTTCTTACACTGAAGCAGAATTCTAAATAGGCACATATTATACATTTCTTCCATGTGATGGACAGTTTTGAATTTCATGCTTTACCCATATTTATAACAGTAGTATATTTTCCTCTTTTGGTTTAGCACTTCTATTTATTTCAGGTTTCATTATTGCACAAACACTTTGTTATTTTGTATTTTCTTTATGTGTTTCTTACCAATCTCTGCGGCTCTACAAATTTTTATGCATGTAACCTAATGTAGTTAACCTATCTTCAAGGGTACTCAATTCACATTTTTTACACTCTTGAGTAGAAATGATTATACTCTTCACCTGTTTAACCTTAGTAATGAGCAAATTACATGTATACTATAGTAAGCTTCTTTTCGGTTCTACATATTTTTGAAAGTTTGTGATGAGGTTATCTAATGTTTATATAACAGATTTTTCGAAAATATTGAACATTTCGATTGCTTCTTAGCCTGCACAATTCAAAAATAACGCAATCCGCCGTTTTATCCGAAGCATCAGTTAGGTCTACAGCTTAAAAGAAAATTGCTGAACAAACTGCGCAAAGTTGGCTCGCTCGTCTGAAAGTCGGAAGACTGATGAAGGTATTAATCCTTCCATTTTTGATTTTTGCACGTTCTGAATTACACCTGACACCATGTTCTATCTCAATATAAGTTATAAGACTTATAAGGAATGTTTTATGTTACGTACTTCTAATTTAAAATATATAAAATAACTTGCACAAAGCTTGGCATAAACAATAATATATTGTCTACTAGAGTTGTGTAGCTCCTGAGTGAGTGATATAAAAGATATATATCATTCACGACGATAAAATCTATCACTCACTCACACTTGCTCCGAATATATCAGTAACTCACTACTAGCTCACTAGATCACTAGATCACTAGCTCAACGACGCCGATCTTTGTTTCATGAGCGAGTGAGACTAAAGATAAATGAGTGAGATAGATGATGGTTGAGTTCACAAAAGTTTCTTTATGCAAAATGTACATTATTTTTATAGGATCAAAGTACAAGGAACATCAAATTATGTATGATTTCTATTATACAACCTAAAAAAAAGTACAAGAAATAATTTCTTATTTTTAATTTTTAATTGTTATATAAAAGGCTGTTAATAATTATGTTATCTTATCAAAATGAATAATTTTGTATTTAAAAAAAATAGGTCTAAAATGTAGTTTCAAAAACTGAATTTAGGTTTATAAGAAAATAAAGAAAGATTTGTAAGGCGAGAGAGGCTTGAAGTGAGTGATATACAAGTATACTGAGCTAAACGATCTAGATGAAGAAATGAATTAATTGAGAGACCAATCAATTGAATCGGATCAATGAGCTAGTGAGCTAAAGGAGTTAGTGAGCTAAATGAGCTAGTGAGCTAGATGAGTGATATATATCTTTAGAGCGAAATGATATGTATCAATCTTTTCAGCTCAGTGATACATTTTGCGCATCACTATTGTCTACCCTTTTTTACAGGACCATAGACACAGACGCTTGTTACTAAAATAAGATCCAGAACTAATAGAGAACAATAAAAAAATATTTTTTTGAACAATATACATAAAAGTAGTACAACTTTTGTAAATCTAACCTTTTTAACATTAGGATGAATCTTCTTGGGTCCTTTGTTCTCAACAAGCTTTTCCTCCACTTTATTTTTCTTTTTTCTTCTGACTTCCTTCTTTTGTACTTCTTTTCCCTCCTCTTCAACTTCTGAATCTGACATCACAATTTCAGTATCATTGATATCAATAATAAGATCTTTCCTAGAATTAGTAATAATCCCTTTACTACTTTGCTCCGATAAAGTTTTGATCCAGCCCACTGGGGTTTCCGAGTCGATGTAGCATGGTCCTTCATCTTCGCTTGAAATAGCTTGCGTTGGATGCGTAGGAAGTTCGCGTGGAGCGCGTTCTCTGCAACCATTAATAATATTAAATAATTAAAATGCACTGATCGCAAAATCGTTTCAGTAGTTGCTTGGTACAGAAATTAACAATTGTAAGCAGACATTTGTATGAAGTTAGACTTTAAATATTTAGGGTTTAGATAATATTTCATAATATTAAATTGGACACTACAATGTTGTTTAAAAAAATGTTTATAGCTTCTTCTTTTTTGTTTTCTTGAGTTCACAATTCTTAAATTGTACATATGCCTGCCATACCCTTACTGAACCATCTAAAGGCTGACACCTATCTAGGTGGCATTAAGTCCGCCTCGTGGAAGTTGTAATGCAGGTGTAAATTAAAAAAACAAAAATCTGAAATGCTGTGTACGAACTGCTGTCCTGCCTCTGCCATCGACGTGGACATCACAATGTGGCCACGACCGCTCTACCAATAATGACACGACAGAAAACATATGCTATACTGATAGGTCATTCTCAATTCAATTGCTATCGGCTAATAGTGTGTTTACCTTGATTTAGCTCTGTCAATAACTTTAGACTTTTTTTCTTTCTTGCGTTTTTCAATACTTGTATCTGAACCTGTTTTAGGTGGTAGCTTACTAGGTAAAGCTAACAATGCCTTTTGGAATGACTCCATGGAATCTGAAATATAGAAGTTTGCATTTCAATATTTTGAAACCAACAGTTCTAACAGACCAACAGATCTGAACAAAAAATAAGGAATGTGTGCATATTTGTTTTAATGGATTTAACAGAAATTTGCTACTGACTTATCGTTCTTAATTTTTTTTTTACTTTTAAATTTTTATGGAGCTGTTGATGGCCAACAACAAGCAATTTAACTTCATTTAGAAATTCATGAATTAATTTACCGACAATTGTCAATAATGACAATTGTCATTACTATACTGCTGTTACTTTTGCTTCGGTGCTAGTGTCTTTCACATCATCATCAACAGCCTTTAATAGTCCACTGCTGGACATAGGCCTCTGCTTACAAAGGAGGTTTTGGCCTACTATACCACGCTGGCCAGACGGGTTGGTATAGGGTTTGTGTCAAGCTTTCCTTCTTTTTGCAGTGCTGATGTCCTGCGTTGTTTTGCACCCTTAGTCGTCTCTTACGACACTCACGGGATGAATTCGGGTGACATTCTGTATTCTTAATCCGTCACTACACAGACCATTGACCATGGATTAGTGTCTTTACTGACAGTAAAATGCTTTACTATAGTCATGTTTTTTTCTTATTTCATTTGACAGCCACAATATCAAGTTATATAATATAAAAAAAAAACTTTGTTTAGTACTTGATTAGTAACATCATAAGAGAAATATATCATACCATAAACTTCAATACTGGCTAAAGTCTGATGAACTCTCTTCACCTCCTTAAAGCTAGGTTTCCTGGTAGGGAATGGAATCATTCTGACTCTTGGGTCCTCTTTCCTCAGTGGTGAGGGCTTGCCGAACAGTGCTGCTTGGTTGAGAGACCCCACTGCTCTATAGAAGATTAAAGCACAGCCTTTCAGATCCTCTTGCCAACTGATTAGGATATCTTGGACATGCTGAAATCCAATGTTTATGTTGTAATAATATTCCATAATAAATTGTTGTTGGAACTAGATAAATTTTAGTTACTACTTCTGAATCCTATTCCTATCACATTGTTCCAACCATTGCCAGTAACCATAGCATAGAGCAACACTCTGGTCCGCCGGTGGCCTGTGTTCATTGTGTTGCTCTATGGACCACAGGTTTTATGTTAGGCCAGCCACAAACCAGGTTCCCCTAAGTTGGGTTTCTCCCTATATCGAGGGGTTCTATGGTTTTCTTTACTTCTTTAAATTTTTAAGGGTCTTTTTAGAGTCTTTTTTATTTACAAGTATAAATCCTGAGATAATTTAGTCTAGCCAATCATATTTATTTGCTGGCCTGTGTAATGAAATCCAGAGTAATTCTTCGCTACTAAGAATGCTGAGTTGTTTCTAACTCTGCGGCAAAAACGTGCCTGAGAGCGGGGAGGGGGGGGGATGTGACAAGGCCCTAGGATCATGAACTAACGTAATTGACATATGAAATAAACAAAACAGTGCTGACGTGTAGTCTTGGGTAGTACACGTACGATGTACTGATAGGTACTAGTACTGGGTATTGTACTAAAAGTAATGTTTCCGAAAGGCAGCTGTTAATCGGACATTTTGCACTATTAGTACACAGTGTTAACTTCAAGCCAGTATACTAAAACTAGATACTGTTTACTAGTGTCTACGTTCGTTCGCTGTGCGACGTACTATTAATGCTCCGCTTTATTGTTCCGTATTGGTAAACAGTGTGAGAGTAAAAGGGACAGTGATACAGGTGTACTACAATACGTTGGGTTGTAAAGTATGAAGGAAAATCAAATAGTATGCTTAAAAATTTAGTGTAAAGTAATCTAAAAAATCGTATTTAAAAGTCAAACTGTTAGGGTTTGTGGGATTCAGAAAGAGATAACACATTAAAAATAATCAAGAACTCTGTAATTATTTCTATACTGAAGAAAAGTATCTGCCTAATACAAAGCCATCTATATTAAAAAAAAAACTATAACACTTTTTTTTTAATTACGTATTTTAATTTATTTAATTATTAGTATTCCGTTTCATTAATGTTGGTAATATCAATACAAACTCTTAAGTTTTCTACTTCTACTAAAACTGTACTAATAGTACTATTACGGTGTGCTAGTACGTTGTACGAATTGTACTAGTACGGTGCGAACCTGCAGATGTCCGATTAAGCACAAGACTACTGACGTGGCTTATAATGGCGCATAAATGGTGTGTAGTGTCAAAATCTAACATACGTCTAAAACTACTCTCTGTTTCTGTGCCAACGGATCCCAAAAGACGAAAACTGTGGTTACCATTTAGCAATTAGCGATATTTATACCGCTTCTTTCAGAATTTATTAGAATATACTTTTAGAGATAACTAAAAAACATAAAAATCTTGAAATCGGTCGAAGGAATCCACAAATTGAGATTGTTTGTCTTGTTCACTTCATATCTTTTAATCTATGGTTTACTTTTGACACTTGCGGTGTCGTCACAGACTTGTGTCCAATCATAGGACGTTCCGTCCGAGATAAAATTAACTAAAAAATTAAATTTATTTCGCTAAATTCGCTTAAAAATGTACACCAATTAGCGTGAAATAAAGTAAATTATGCTTTTCTATCCTATTATCTTATAGGGTGACCATAATTTGGAGAATATTCTCAATGTTGTCAAATAGCCTATTGCCGTCCATTGCTGAACGGAGGCCTCCTCTAAAGAGCGCCAACCATCCCGGTCGGTTTTTCCGTATGTTATATACATATTTGTAACATATAGCATTTAATAAAAAAAAAATATATATTTAGAATAGAATAGAATATGCTTTATTCTACACCAATTACAATATGTTCGTAAAAAATAATAATTGGTAAAAGTAATCTGTTACAAGCAACCTTTGGATTGACAAATCGATAGTAGATGAGAAGAAACAATGGGTAGTCTAGGTGTATTGAGGCTACAGTAGTGTAAAAACATTTTGTATATGATTTATATCTTATTGTCATTAGATTCGTATATAAAGCTTATTACTAAAGCTAACATTAAACTAGTATACCTATATTATGACTATTCTAAAATGTGCAAGAGTAAATAGAAAAAAAAGTAAAATCAAAATATTACCAATACTTTTGCAAACAGCGTGAGCTAAGTGTGTGACTTATGTTTCAAGACTATGATTTTAGATACAGGAAGTTAATATTTTCAAGCACTAATAGATTAAGAATGTAAATTACTAGTTACACAGATATATTACGTATTGTTTTATAACCCATAAATAAAATACATAAATTATATATACAATTCAAATGAATACAATATATTATTATATTGATAACCATGAAATCATTCAGTTACTGAAAGCAAAAAGTACTTATGCACCTAAGTATTAATCTTTACCATATTCTTAAATGCTGTCAGTTATTGTATGTCAGTATTTAGTGTGTTCCAACTTCAGAGCATTTAGAGACAATATGTCGCGATATTTTTGAGTAGTGTAATTATTGTTCTTTCATGTACGGTTTTTTCAAGTAATTGTGGCAATTTTAAGTTTTTCTTGTGTTTAGGGGTAAATATCTTTGAGAGTTGGTAACACTGCCACCAACAATACACAATTTTTCAGACGTCAATAAAAGCAATGCAGTTGACATTGACATCAGCATTCACGTGGTTGACAACTCGTCGTGCGCAGCTCTCGTGGTGTATTTTGGTTGACGCCATTGCAGTTTGAAAACATTTATTTGTTGTTAAATAAAACTTAATAGTTTAAAGTACTTCGAGAAGCTTGAGATATTATAAAATCATGGCTGAATCGAACAATGATTGGGAAACTGTTCCGGTAGCGCGCAGAACTCCTAGAGGCAGAGGATCACGAGGAGGTTCTTCCTCCCACAATGACGGCAGACGTGGTAATTACAGTGGCGGGGACAACCGTCGCAACACCGATCGTTATACCCGACGCAACTACCAAGAAGATGCAGGTAACACAAAAGTTATTTATGTTCCTCCAAATAAAGTAGGCCGTATTATAGGAAAAGGTGGATCGAAAATACGCGATCTGCAATCTGAATCTGATGCTAAAATTAAAATTGGCGATACTAGCGGTTGTGAGGCAGACATTACGCTGATAGGCACTGATCAAGCTATTGCAAAGGCTGAAAGTTTGATTAACGATTTGATTGAAGATTATAAGCCTCCGCCACCGAAAAATGACCACGTGGACAATAGCAGCACTAGATCAGACGAGATTTTCACAACCAATGAAAGTGGTGTGCAAGTTGTTGATTGGGAAAAGCTTAATGCCTATCATGATCAGGAACAGCAGGATAGGTGGGCAAAGCTGCCGCCCATTGTCAAGGATTTTTACCAGGAAGATCCAGTTGTAGCAAATATGTCACCTGATGAGGTAAAACGTTGGAGGTTAGCTAACAATAACATTACAGTTAAAAGAACTTTCGATGATAAACCTGATTTAAGACCTATACCAAACCCAGTGGTCACCTTTGAACAAGCATTCCAGCATCATCCTGAAATTCTTGAAGAAATATATAAACAGGGTTTTAAACAACCTTCCCCTATTCAAAGTCAAGCATGGCCTATACTGTTAAGGGGTGATGATTTAATTGGCATTGCTCAAACTGGTACCGGGAAAACATTAGCATTTCTGTTGCCAGCTCTTATACATATTGAGGGACAAACTATCCCCAGGGATCAGAGGGAGGGTCCGACAGTGTTAGTCATGGCCCCCACAAGAGAACTTGCGTTGCAAATAGATAAGGAAGTGTCTAAATATCAGTACAGAGGCATTAAATCTGTTTGTCTATATGGTGGAGGAAACCGGAAGGAGCAAATTAGAGAACTGTCTGAAGGTGTAGATATAGTCATTGCAACACCCGGCAGGCTTAATGATTTGGTACTGGCTCGTCACTTAAAGATCATAAATTTCTCATACATTGTGCTCGATGAAGCTGACCGGATGTTAGACATGGGATTTGAGACTCAAATTAGAGTGTCATTATGTGATGTGAGGCCTGACAGACAGACTGTCATGACATCAGCGACTTGGCCGCCAGGTGTGCGTCGTCTTGCAGAATCCTATATGAAAGATCCCATACAAGTTAATGTGGGATCATTAGACTTGGCTGCTGTACATACTGTTACACAGAAAATATTGTTTGTGGAAGAAGATGGTAAAGAGGCTGCTTTATTTGACTTCTTGCATAATATGGATGCAAATGATAAAGTTATCATATTTTGTGGTAAAAAAGCTACTGCATCACATATTACCACAGAGCTAAGTAATAAAGGCATGGCATGTCAATCTTTGCATGGAGACAGATATCAAAGTGACCGGGAGGCAGCTTTAGAGGACATGGTAGATGGAAAAGTAAACATTCTGATCGCAACTGATGTTGCTTCTAGAGGTATTGATATTAAAGATCTTACACATGTTGTTAACTTGGATTTCCCAAAACATGTAGAAGAATATGTCCACAGAGTGGGAAGGACAGGACGGGCAGGAAAAACAGGGATATCTCTAACATTTTTTACAAGGCATGATTGGAATAATGCTAGAGATCTCATAAAAATTCTTGAAGAAGCTAATCAAGAAATTCCAGAGGAGTTAGAACAAATGGCAGAGAGGTTTGAGGCTATGCAATTGAGACGAGAAGGTGGAGGCTCAAGCCGAGGGCGCGGGGGTCGTGGTGGACGTTTTGAAAGAGGACGAGCCTGGTGATTAATGCAGAATGAATCTCCTGTAGCCATAAGATTTTATATTATCCTAAATTATTTGATCTCTGTATTTTTGTCTATGTACTTAGAGTAAAGTATTTAATAGCAATATAGAACTTTGATTGTTAAGAGAACTAGAATTAAGTTTGACTATATTGCTGTGATAGAAAGTAAAACAAATGTTCCACTTTCAAGATCAGTTCTACATAGTTGTAGTTTAGGATGCTCGTGTATTTTTTGTGAACATGATAAAAACCTGTTAATACAATAGAAATGTTGTCTATTTTTTCAACTTTACAGCAGGGTATTTATGTTATTCTATAAATATAATAGAATATTTTATTCTGCCAAACCTGACTGCATAACAATGTATACTTATAATTTACCTCAATTACACCTAAAACTAACCGACTACTAACACGCCGTTTAGTCTACTCGTACACTTGAAAAAAAACCCTCCTTCTGGTGCAGTCAGGTAAAAACATAATAATAAGATAGTTTAAGTTATACACAATCGGTTAATGTTCGGTTCAGTTCATAAATTTAATGTCTTTTCAAAGTTAACAGTGTTTTGATATTGTTCTACAAATATTTGAAACTTGACAGTCTGTAGCTGTAAAACTAAGCCAATTATACATTTCGAATAGTTGTAGCAGTTTCGAATAATTTTAACCACACCATAAAATCCAATTGTTCTTCTGCCAATTTATGGAATGTTAGAACATCAGTGTAATAAGTATAACTCATGTATGATAAATAAATTATAAATGATAAATGATATTTATTTCTGTAAATCTTTTCAGATATTTTTACAAGTGGGAGAAAACATTAGGTATAGTTAAATTGCAATAATTTATGTTTTAATACATGCATGATGAACAAACAACAGAATAATTGATAAAATCCGAGGAGACAATTTAAAAAAAGCTAAGCGCCAGTAAATACAATTTACCTTTTACTTTTACATAAATTTTACTGATAAAACAATTTTAGTCATTTTAATTCAGAATTCAGCTTTTAATCACAAAGGACCAAAACTCGCTTAATGTCTAGCTTTAATAGTTTTAAACAATTTCAAGTTGCTTTTCTAAAAAACCTCCCCTTCATTAAATTTTGTTATCAAAATTATTAGTATGTAAGTAAAACAACTTGCCATCAAAAATTGTTCCTGATTATATCTCCGTAAACTCGCACCTGCAGACCTTGGAGCATTACCATGACTGTCTCTTGTCAACTGTGACTGGCCTTGACCACGGCGGGTCGTATAGGAGTGGAGAGTTTTGTGTATGGCATCCACGCCACCGGTAAAAATACAACCAGCGAAATGGCCTCCCGAGACCATGAACACTGCCCAGCGACCAAAACCGGGGCTAAGGAGATCTTTGCAGCGTCTAGCCCATACATGTCCCTCACCATCTAATGACATCTCTTCCTGTAAATGCAAAATTTGCGTATTCATATTTTACGTTTGCAGTGATAATAACAATAAACAAACTGTAGTTGTCACCACATCTGTAGTTTTTTTAAATTGCTGTGCATTAATAATATATTAGTAAATGATTTCAGATATTAAAAAGAACTCCAAATACCTATGAATATCAATGTTGAAAAAATGCAAGAAATTATGCCTAATATGACTCCATTCCATATACATGCTATCCTAGCAATAAACCAGACAATGTAATTAATTTACCTGTAAATGTGTTATGTAATAGTTTAATACAAAACTAGTTAATGTATTGTCTGTAGGTTATTACTGACCATGAGTGAGTCTAATACACATTCCAAAGTAAAGTTTATTCGGTGCAGTTAAATATTAACTAAATACAAGTTATTGCTTTATTCAAAAAAATAAGTTAACATAAAAATGTTAAACTTTTCAATTTGGTAGAAGAAGAAGCATAGTTTACCATTCTTTTTCTACACTTGAAAGGTAACATCGCTTACGCAGGCGCAGAGTGTCTAATGACAACATTATGCAGACAACTGATTTTGTTAGTTTTTTTGCTGCTATTGCGCAACTGAATATTTATAGTATATTTTAGTAGAGTGTGCAGCACCTTACCTTCCTGTGATGCAGGATACAACGATAAATACAAAAAACTTGCTCTTTATCATTGGAGAAGAAAGCCTTACAGTGTCTTGTTGCAGCTGCAAATAGTTCTGTAGCTGTCATGTTGGGATCATCATCAGCTTCCGATTCACTGCCTGATGAGTCTGAGCTTACACCTAGAATGTATATTTAGTTTAGTTTAATTTTAAACTTTGACAATACTAATAAATTTAGACAATACTAATACTACTGTTTCAATTAAGGCAGGCCAAAAACATTTGCATTTGTTATAATGTGAAATTAAAAAAAGATGCATATGTTTAGAATTATTCTATACTAATAGAATAAAACTAAAGAATGTCTACAAAAATCTATTTTTATTAATAAGGGTCATTTGTGACTACATAATACAACCAAAAAATTATTATTTTATTTTATTTATTTTTCTCTTTATTGTACACCGCTACAGTACTATTTGTACAGATATATACATTTTGATATGACAATAGGCAGTCCTATCATTCACAGAGATCTCTTACAGAGAACCTTTATACAGATCTGGTCAAATTTTAAATAAGGTAGCCCAAGGAGCAAACTACTCAGAATGACAACACTGCAAAGAGAAGGCAAATTTGAAATAAACCCTATAACAATTTGTATACCCAGCGTGGTATAGTAGGCCAAAACCTCCTTTCTACAGAGATGATACGTTTACAATATATATACTACTAACACACCTAAATACATAGTTTTTATATATTTGCATTGATTCAGAATTACTTACCATCTTTAGATTTATATTCCCCTAATGTATGAGGTTTTTTCCCAAACAGCTTCCGTTTTATATTATGAATATGCCAATGGTCTTTATAATGTGCTGTTTGCTGAGCCCGTGTGGCAAATGGACCAACACCACAACACGAGCAACAGTTGCCATCAGACCCATTACCAAGAGATAAAGCGCTTAGACGTTTAAGTACACTTTCCTCATCAACTGTAAAAGATTTAGTAGTTTTAAAAATAGCAGAAATAGATAACAGACTAACGGTTTTTCCACTTCACTTGTGAAAAACTGGTTCAACTATGTAAGTAAAAGTCTAGGTTCCGTAATGGATAAATTTATTCGGTAAATTCTTCGGTAAATTGAAATATACGACATATTTTATAATTATTTAAAATTAGAATTTTATAATTTAATTAATTATAAACCAGAGAATTTTAGACACAAAAAAGGTTATTTTTCTGAAGTTATGTTTAATATTGCACAATTATGTTACGGCACATTATGTATTGACTCACCTACTGCTGGAGGTTCAGTCAACATGCACTGTGCTACCTTTACATCCTTTAATAAGCGCTCAACCTCGTCCAGATCATAGGCCTTGACAGTTCGACTTCTTCGTGATATTTCTGTTTTTGACGACATAATATCTTCTACATAAACTATTTACATGCCGTGCTACCTCCACCATGAAAGGTGAATAAAAACCAAAGTAATGAAATTGTGGTGCAATAATTTTAGTACTGAGCACGAGTCTAATAAGAGTAGAGTACTGACTTTGACATGCAGTACATAGTACATACACTGACAATAACTGCCAAAGTGTCAAGTGACCAGTGACCAAGATAACTTTCGTTCAAAAGTTAATCATCAGTGTAAAATTACATTTATTTTTTTACAACAAACTGAATACAGAATTTCGCATTTCTTTTTTCCATCTTTAGCGACTAATAGTAGTTTTCTGCTATAAGAAAACAACTTCTTTGGATGAAAAAATCTTCTTATTCGAAAAAATCTTTTTATGCCATTTTTGTGCTCCTGACAACAACAAGGTGCATGCAAAATTACAGACATGGAGTATTTGAAGAGTGAAAGTATAACAAACAAACAAACGAACTAAGAATTTTTTATTTAATAGGTATTTACTTATTTGTTTAATTGAATTGAATCCAATTTACCAGTCAATTATCATCTTATTGGGGTCAGAGTAATATAAAAAGTTAGAGTAAAAGTTTTAACTTTAGGCAATAAGTTTTATTACTTTGAAAGATCTAAAAGATATGATTCTTTTTTACTCACAGGCAGAATAATTGTTCATCATATAGATGTAAGGCCCCTTTTAATACCAATTAAACTAATCTGTTTACAACGAAAAAACCGAAATAAACCATTTTTATCGATTTAAAACGGTTGGTGTCGATGACTATGTTTTTTTAAATTATGTACTTATAATTTTCTTGATTTTACCGATTTACCGAGGGATATGACGGAGTACCTATAAACTGTGTAAAGATTTTTTAATATATGTGATATAATTATATTGATATACTTAGCGGGTTTAGTTCTAGTTGGTCCGTTCGACCAAGCGAAGATATTACCTACCTAAGTTATATAAACATATTTTAGTTAGTTTTCAAATGTTTTCAAAACTATACCACTCTCGCACTCTTGTTGACGCCGTCGTCGGCACGACGGCCTTGAATACATAACGTTGTCTCTTTCATGCGTAAAAAAAACGGACGGCATTGTGTTAACGATGTCTCCTAATCTAGTGTGTCATCATCATTAACAGCCTTTAACAGTCCACTGCTGGACATAGGCTCCTCCTTAGAAAGGAGGTTTTGGCCTACTATACCACGCTGGCCATGCGGGTTGATACAGGGTTTGTTTCAAGTTTTCCCTTAGTCGTCTCTTACGACACCCACGGGATGAATAGGGGTAGTGACACTCCGTATTCTTAATCCCTCACCACTCGGACTAGTGTGTGTAATATAATAAATAAGTATAGATAGGTATACCTTCATACTTAAGTTTCCGTGTAGTAATGCAGGTTGGTACTTTCTATTGATTTCCTAGAAACTAATTAAAACGAAACATGACGTCAGGTGTGCAAGAGAGTAATAAATGAGATTTAAAAACAATTAGACGAAAAAAAACATTATTTTCGTCTGTTACCTCAAAAATTTTTCATTTGTAAACCGATTTAGAAAATTCTTATTTTATTTAGAAGGTTTCCCCTTTGGTTCTAAAAATTGTATGACGCAGTAAATAGAATAGAATAGAGTAGAATAAATTCATTTCAAAAAGGTATGTGATACAATGAGTTTTATAGCGGCCACAGCACTAACCTCGAGGCTTGTATCTCAGAGGCCAAAGAGACATTTGTCATACAGTTTCACATTTCAGTTTCGGCTCAGCAGGTACAATAGATACTATAATATATCATTATATTATGTAGAATATAATAACTTATTTATTCCAAGACAAGGTCAAAAGTCACGGAATTTAATGTTTTTAAGGAATATAAATACATAACTAGGCAATGTGTCTGTGTGTTTGTGAGTGTGTGCTACGCAAATGATTTAATTTAGTAGTGTAAAAAGTTTATGTGATTTGTGGGAATTGAAGATAAAGGGGAGGGAGGATCAGCTGACAGTTTCAATTAGATTTTCTGTGTTCTAATAGTTGAGGTCCACAAGCCAGTTCTCTATGATAGGTTTGATTTTTCTTGTTGGTAGGTTTATGATTTGTGATAATTTTCTACACACTTGGTTGTAGATGTGCGGAAGAAGAAAGATAGGTAAATGCTTTATAAAAGCTGTCTTCATGTTAGGAACTGGTATTCGGAAACACGACAGCTAGTGAGACGGAGGTGTTCTGGTGAGTTAATGACCAACTTGTGTTGCTAGCTTTCAGAATAAAAATCTGTCGAACTCTGAGTACTTTACATACAGATCATCTGTAGGGAAGCGAAATGATTTTTTGAGCATCACTTTCAGAACTGTGCGTTAGGCTCTTTCAAAATCGATCATTTTAGATTTTAACGCTCCTCCCCAAGCTAGAAGACAATAGTACAGTAGTGATTGAGTCAACAGTTTATACACCATTATAAGAGTGTCCTTGTCAGCACTGCGTCGCAGTGACTTCATTATCCAGATAGTCTTCTTTACTCTCCCAGACATAACTGAAATATGGTTTTTGAATGAAAGATTTTCATCAAGTACTCCTAGGTATTTTATCGAGTCTATGTTGCTGATGGTGTTGCAATTACAAGGGTTTGTTTCTAGGATATTGCAGGTGTGAATTTTAAGGTCCAAGAGTGATGTTGGTCTTGATGCAAGAGTTTTGTGAAAGAAGACATATCTGTTTTTTTTTAGAGTTTAATGTTAACAAGTTCTTAGTCAGCCATCCTGCAATTACTGCCATTCCTGTTTCTGCGGCTCGTACAACTCCGTCCCTAGACTTGTCACTGAAGAGTACAACCGTGTCATCCGTATAACAAATTACTTCGGCACCCTGTTTGGGAAGTTCTAGAATGTCGTTAATGTAGATACAGAATAGGGTCGCTGCGAGGACACTTCCCGGTGGTACTCCCACGTTAAATTATAATGGTTTACTAATATTAGTGCCTACCTTTACACACTGACTACGTTTTGTCAAGTAGCTTTGAAACCAGTCCAATGCCTTGCCTCTCACCCTTTTACCCTATAAGTTCCGCAGAAGTATGGGAACAGACACAGTATCAAAAGCCCTGGCGAGATCGAGGAATACTCCGGTTATTGTTATCCAAGGATGATAATACCGTGTTTGTCAGCAGAACAACTGCATCTTCTGTACACTTGCCCGCTCTAAAACCAAATTGTTTGTCTGACAAAAGATTATTGTTGTTTAAAAAGGAGGCGAGTCGTCTATTTACAATCTTCTCAAGCAGTTTAGAGAAAATGCTTAGGAGTGAAATAGGCCTATAATTGTTTGGAGACTTTTTATCACCAACTTTGTGGATCGGTGTGACAGCAGCAAGTTTCCAGCAATGACGGAATACACCCGAAGCGATACTCATGTTACAAATGTGTGTTAAAGGGTCGATAATTTGTTTTTTTATGGTTTTTATTATTATTGAGGTAAAGCCTGGAGCGTGTCATTTCCGAGATAGAGATCTGAGCCACATAAGTATATCAGTCGACAACAATGTATGGACTCAAAGTTAACAATAGTAAAACGCTAGTGACAGTAATCGGCAGCTCCAGACTTATCGCAAAGGTTAACTGCCTAGCACTACCACAAGTATCTTTTGAAGGCGTAAAAATTCCAATTAGTAACTACGTCAAAAATTTAGGGCTATACGTTGACAAAACCCTCATGGAATGCTCAAATACAAAATGTCAGCCGTAAAATGTTTACCTCTGTCGCTTGTTTAAATAGATTACGTAATTTCCTTCCAACTGCCACTAGGGTTGAGCTCGCACAATCGATTCTTCTTCCTATCCTTGACTATGCCAATGACAGCTATCTTCATCTGAACGAGGACCAATTCGACAAACTTGAGAGACTTCAGAACTTCTGTATAAGATTCATTTATGGCTTGTGCAAATATGATCATATTTCCGAATTTCGTAAAAAAACTCAAGTGGCTTCCAATTCACACAACACAGAATACTCACATCCTTTCCTCTCTTTACTATATAATGTTTTATTTAACCCTCAACTTCTATATACTTAAAGAAATGATTTGTATTTATTCATGACACACATACACGATATTTGAGATCATCGGAAACTCTAACACTAGAAATTCCAACACACTTCACAACTTTTACTGATAAATCTTTTACAGTACAAGCAGCACGCCTATGGCATTCCTTATCGGAAGCTATAAGGCGGGCACGGTCAGTGAGTACTTTTAAGACTCGTCAAGGATCACTATTTATCTCTGTAAGAACTATGTGTTATATAGGTATGTAATGTATGTATATGTATTATGTATTATGTATGTGATGATTTGTGTAAATGTATGTTATGCGCACAACAAACTGCATATTATTATACAGTATAGTCCATCCAAAGGTTGCCTGTAAGAGATCGCAGACTGCGATAAGGCCGCCCATTGTACCATTGCTTTTGTTATTTTATGTTTATATTCTGCATTGTATGTTTTCTATCGATGGTGTGCAATAAAGAGTACCTATCTCTCTATCTTTGCTCTACTGTAGGTAGGGCAACGTTAAACTATGCCTCTAATACCTGGGTAGTTTGACTCGGATCAGCTTCCGCCATCTTCTTTAATTCAACGTTATTCAACTGTGTGGGCGGTCTTCCACATGGTTCGTTCTTCAAGTCGAAGTTTCTATTATGAAAGCGTTTAAACAAAAAGCGCACGGTGCGTTCATTAGTAGTCTCCTCTCTAAACACAAAGTTCATATTGCGAGCCGTTTCTGCCGCGTTAGTTCCGCGTCGGAACTCGTATTCAAAAATGACTCGGATTTTCGAAGTATCCATCTTTCATGTCTAAGCTGAATAAAAAAGAAATTGAAGTCGAAAATCGAATATTGCACATTTTTTAAAAGAAGAATCATGGTATCATGTGAAAAAAGTTTCACACGAAAATCTCACACCATGAAGGTTTTATGTCAATGCAAAGTATCTAT